GAGGCTCAGAGGAGTCAGGCCACTTGGCCAAGGCCAACAGCTGGAAAGTTCAATGCCAGGGTGGCCCCAAGTCTTTTAACCTCCCCCTGCCCACTGCTCTCTCCTGCTCTCACGAAAGTGAAAAGAGAAAGGTTTGAACTTGCTTTCTTTATTGCTAGATGAACTTGGGTGGGTCTCTGAGTTCTGTCTCTGTAAATAGGATCCCTAGTCACCCCTACCTAATGGAGTTGTTAGAAGGCTCAAGTGAGCCTGTGTTCTAAAGGTCTCATCACAGCGCCTGGCATGGTACGCGTTCCTTATGTTAAAGATTAAGAGTCTAAAGCACAGAGAGGCAAAGTGCCTTGCCCGAAGCCACAGAGCTGATGAATAAAGGAACCAGGCTTTGGACTTGGGTTTATCTGACCTTACAACCTGAGCTTCTACCCTAGAAAGCACTCCCTGATGGCAGTTATTAGTATTGTATTATTACTAGCAGTTAATTAAAACAATGAAGGCGGATGATGAGGGTCCAACAGTCTCCCTATCTCGTAGGATCTATTCCAGGGAGCTGCTTTCCGGAAAGCCTCTACAAAGCACCCAGGAAACTCTACCCCAGGGCCCCTCCCAGGATAGCCATCCAGAATCTACCTCTTTTCCTACAGAGGCTGTGGGGGAGGGTGGGAGCACCACCCCTTTCTTCCAGCTCCCAGCCAGCAGCATTCCTGGGGCTGAAGGAGGACCTTGGCAGGCAAGCCCTTGGCCCTGGTGCTGAGGACACTCAGAGAGGCTGGCCATGGCCTGTGGGCAGCTGGGTGGAGGGATACCAAGAGGGAAAGCAGGAGGGTCCCTGAAACTTGTCCAGGCCCTACAGTCTTCAAACTGCCAAAGGACGTTCCTAGGATTTTCAAATTTATTCTATGAAAATCATCACAAAAATAAACAGATTCAATCACACTCAGTTGTACATTTAATGAACTGTCACTTTGGGGGAAATGATTGCAAATTACACATAAAAAGAAACAATTCAGGAAAAAAAAAACCAGGGAGGCAATGATTAAATATTTAATATGCAAGCTGCCTTGGAAAAGCTAGGTTGTAAGGTCGAGACACCTCCTGGGGAAAGGACCTGGCCCTTCTAGCATCCTCCATTCGTCCATTCACACATGAGTCTGCCCTTTGCTGAGCACTTACTATGTGCCAGGGGCTGGGCTGAGAGCTTTCCCTGAGAAACTCACAGCCACCCAGTGCCAGAGGTGTGGTTCCAGTTCCCATTTAAACCTACGTCAGCTGAGGCTCAGAGAGTGTAAGTGGCTGGCCCAAGGGGGCACAGTTAGCAGGTGGCATCCAATGTTCCTCTGAGCGCGGACTCTAGAAAGTCCTAGAGACCCAGACATGAACAAGGCAGGGTCCCTGTCTAATCAGCCCTAAATTTACAAAGGTTAGGAGCAAGAAAAGGTCATCACTTCTAGTGACTTCAAATTCTTTATAAGTGAAGGACACACTTTCTCATGTAAGACACCGTCGTACAAAACAGAGGAAAAGGAAAGCTGCAAGGGAGCCTCGCCCTCTGTCCCCCAGTCCTTAGGCACCTGGGGACGGGACTGCTGGCCCAACTCAAAACCCACGGATAGCACCCAAATGTGTCACTTTACAGATGGGAACACGGAGGCCTAAGAAAGGAAGGAATTGTCAAGATAGCCAGGACTGGAACCTGGGCCCGTGGACCCCTGGTTTGGGGCTCTTTGCTCTGCGTTAGGGTCCCCATGGTGCCAGTGTGTGGATGCTCACTTCCGGTGTCCTTTGTCCAGTGACATGGGCTGCCCAACACTGGCCACACTCCAGTGAGTTTGGGGTTTTCGGACCAGTTCATCGTTTTTTTCCAGCTGTCAGAGAAAAATGAAGTCTAAGAGCCCCTTGGAGGAGAGGTGAGTATTTTCAAAAGAACTGTTTCTACTAGAACCCCAAACACAGGGGAAGTCCAAAGGACCTCAGTTTGATGCCCAGCTCTCCAACCATGACTAGGATCTAGTCCATGCTGCTTCCTCAGTTTCCCCTCTATAAAATGAAGTGGTTGGATTACAAGGGATTCTCTACAAGGCTCCTTCCAGGATGGGTAAATGGGGAATCTGGAATCTTCTGGGCTGGGCCACCTCTGGATTTCGGATGACCTAGACTGCAGTCGGTCAACAGTGGCCCTAACACCCCGTTCCCTCCCTCCTGAGGAGTGCTGACCCTCGTCGGTGCCCCCCTCAATGTTCTCTCCCTTTCCAAGCCTCCCCTTCCCCTCCCCCCCCTCCCGGGTGAAACCCTCTCTTTCTCAATTTCCTGATAAGCCATGACCCGGTGCCTTTCTTGCTTTTATCGAAGAATAGTAAATGGGATTCCAGAGACCATTTGTCCAAGCCTCCTGCATATGGTGGAGACACTGAGGCCAGAGAAAGGAGCGACTGCCCCAGGGTCACCCTGTGAGGAGGAGGCCCGCTTTCTGCCACCAGGATCACCTCCTGCTACCCAGGACTAAGCTCTTGGGGTCCTTAACTTTGGCCAACAAGTACTTAGAATTGCCTTTCCTGGGGCATCAGAGGTCTTCAAGGAGATTCCATGGGCCTTCAGTCTCCCTGCCGGCCTGGCCTGCGGAGCTGGAGGTGGGGGCGTCCCTTTCTGTTCTCTTTCAACCCTTTTGATCACAACTTGGAGTCTCAGTTTGTTGCTAATGTGTCTTTAACACCTTTCTAGCCCTTGTTAATCTCCCTTTACAAGAGAGTGGGGCCTTGGGCTCAGCACCTTCCTTAGGCAGCTGTATTTTGCTGGAAATTTTTTTTTTTATTGTGGTTAAATATACATTGTTAGAATTTAATAACACTTTTATTTTCATTGTATTTATTTTTATGGGACCTTCTATTTATAGTAATGTGATGCTGGTTTTCCATTTATGGGAATGATATAACATTTCTTTGTAAAAACAAGTAAAAAAAAATAACAAAACAAGAGTTGATTTAAAGAAAGCTATTAAGCAAACAGCCTTATCTGGTGCACGGATTCTTGACGGAAGCAGGAGAATGGCTGAGGTCTGGGAAACTCTGACTTGGAGCTGGGGCTGAGCTCCCAGCTGGGCGGCTTAGTGGTCGAACTGGCCTGCTCTGCCTTCCCCTCCCGGTGCTTCCCTCCCCCACTCCCCCTGCCGGCCTCTGCCAATCCCCCAGACCCTCAGAAACTCCATCCATTGCTCCTGCTGTCTCTGGCCTCCACCTCCCAGGCCCCAGCACCCTCACTAGAGGCTGAACCTTTTCCCTCTTTAAATTTATGTGGCGCCTCCGTCCAAGGAGGCCCACACAGACTGCCTCTTCCAACAGCATTCCATAAACACAGAGCCTGTGGGGTTTTTCAGCGCAAAGGGTCAGCCTCCCCCAACTCTGTTTTGGCAGCGGAAGGGGTGACCCTGGAGGCTGAATCCGTTTAGCGTTTTTGCTTGTCCTTGTTTTACAGAAATTGCATTATCAGAGATTTTCTTCCCTTGAGTTAAGCATTGCTCACTCGGGGTCCATTTGAAAGGCGGACCACGTTTATTTCCCCCAGTCACACGTCTTCAATTTACCCATTCTCGATTTACCCCAGGACTCAGTGAATGGGTTGAAAGGACCAGACATCCTCAAAGTCCTTAGAGGGGTGTATCCTTTTCCTGGAATGTGGGTAAGGAAAGGCAGCGATTTCCTGCCCCTGGAAACTGCCCTGGGGCCCGATATTACCATCCCTTATACCCAAGACTGGAATAGGTTCAAAGCCTATCAGTCACTCACTCTTTAGTGAGAATCAGCTGACCAAGGGGCCCCTTGCAGAGCTCCGGCCTGCGTGAATCTCCAGGGCCATCAGGCATTGCCCCGGGGAAGCTTCAGAGCAGGGGCCCCCAAAAAGAGCTCCCTAGGGACGAGGAGTGGGCATCCAGAACCCCTCTCATCTGGGGGGTTACCAAGCACTTTCACTTGGGCTGTCCCCTTCGATCTGCTTGCTTGCTCATTTCGTCTGCAGCAGGAAGTTCAGAGGTTAAGTGTCTCGGTGAAGTCCTGTGTCAGGGGCTGGGGAGGGGGTGTGTGGCTGTGGCAGCGGAACAAATGAAAAGATAGGTCCTGAGATTGGAGACACAGCGCGGGCCTCTCGCAATCAACTCATTTGCATCTGGTCTGGGGTCAGCCCCGCCCCCTCCTCACCGGCGTCCTCGGCCTCTATTATCCGCAGCCCGCCGCAGCAGCCCTGGGCAGGGTGAATCCCTCCGGCTTTCAACAGGTACTCCCAGGGCAGCAGGAGGCCCAGGAGAAGCAGCGGGGTCCGGATGGACGGTCATCCGCCCTCCAACCCTGCAGTCGGTTATGGGGGGCCAGCGTGAAAGTTTCCCCGGAATAAATACTCCGGGTCTAGCATGCCACTCTCCCCACTTCCCCAGCGGATCTCCCGAATTCAGACGAAGCGAGGGCCCGGGGAGCAGGGCGGGAAGGCGGGCAGGGGGTGAAGGACGGGAGCAGGGCAGACGGTGGCCCCAGGGCCCCGGAGCGAGGCCTGGATGCCGCACCGCAGGCCGAGCCCGAGGCAGGCAGGAGGCGAGGGGCAGCCCGCCGGGGGAGACGTGCCTTCTCGGCGGCCGCCACGACAGCGGTGGCGGCGGCGACTGGAGACTGGCGGGGAGGAGGTTTGGGGAGGGGAGGGAGCGCGGGGGAGAGGGAGGGACGGAG